ATAATTCTAACCCTAAGCCTGCACCTGTAATTATCGCGTTTATAACCATATAAATTGTTATTATCATGTCAATAAAGACTTGATTTGTATTAAACTATCTTTTAATCAATTATTGTTATTTATGTTTATCCGGTTACATTTTTTATGACCCCTTATTATTTTGAAGTAAAAAATATTTATTTAGTGAATTATATTCTAAATCCAGTGAATTATATTCTAAATCCAGTGTATTATACTCTAAATCCGATGTATTATATTTTTAATTTTAGTAAAAACTAGTCTCGCTAAAGCGGTCCTCAATTCCAGGATCTCCGGGGGGTGTTAACTGAATTGTAAATAAAATATAATTACAATAGTAACAATTTTGTAAGATTGAATAACCGAACAATAGAATCTAATATATTATCTAGTAAATAATCCCTTTTTAGAGATTATTCCTTAGGGATCAAGGATGTAGATAATATCCATTGATCTCTAAATATTAGCCCATTTAAAGCATATTTTTGTATTGTGTGAGGAGAAGCTTTAAAGTATTTTCCAGCTTTTATAGCAGAAGGAAAATTATTAATTAAAGTTTTTCCATCACTAGAATAAACGTAAATAGCTGTACCGTTGGCATGACTAATAACTAAACTCATTTTAGCAAGAGTTTCAGCAGAATGTTTCTTACCATATAAAGGATGATTTATACCTGAATTAGCAAGACTTATTAAAGCTTTAGTTTCTTCTGAATGTTTGAATCCTAAAGAAGAACCAGCCATTTGCAGTATATTCATAGTTAGGCTCAAAAGTATCTAAATAGTGTTGTTCTCGTTTTAAATTTAATTTCCGTGCTTCATCAACAATACTTTGAAAATTAATATTATAGGGGGGAGTTTGTCTTAGTTTTAAAATGACGTAAATAAAATAAGCAAAATTAAAATTACTAATAAATTAGCAGTATCAGAAAAATAACTGGATTGAGGTATATCCATAACAAAGGGATAATTTTTTATATTTATGTAAAAAACGTTATGAAAAATAAAAAGGACCGTCTCGGAGGGAAGGTATTAAGAAATTAACTTAGTTGATAAGTACCATTGTTTTTTAAACAATAAACCATTTCTTGTATAATTTAATATAGTATTATATGACACATTAAAATGTTCTCCAGCTTTTACTGAAGAATTAAATGTATTGATAAGTGTGGATCTATCAGAAGAATAAACATAAATAATGCAACTTTGAGCAGCACTAATCTTAGCTTTAGATTCAGCAGTATGGCACTTTCCAAAAAATGGATTATTATTTTTAGCATTTGTTCCTTTTCGAACTTCCTTAAATCTTAACTTAGTTTCCTCTGTATGACTAGATCCTAATTTAGTAGCAGATATTTTTAACTTTGTGTCCTCAGAATGCTTAAATCCTAAAGAGTTACCTGCTGTTTTTAGGATGTTATACTCGGGGTTTAAAGTGTCAAAATAATGTTGTTCAAGTTCTATAACCTTATCAGCATCACAATACTCCATAATTTCAAGGGTAAAATTTGAATAACCATAATTAATTAACGCCTGGTGAATAATACTATTACCTTTGCTACTGTCAGAAATATAATCATAATTATAATATAATCTTAGGCGATTAGATAAATTTATAGAACTACCTATATAGAATTTACCAGAAAGATTATTTAACCATTTATAAGCACCAGCTTTTTTATAATTATCCCTTAAAATTTCTTTTTTCATAGTATCTGCATTATTATAGATTTTTATAGGAACTATACTAGATAAAAGAAAAACATCAGATGAATAAATTTCTAATAAAGAAATAGTAGGTATTTCAAATAAATTGAAAAAAGGAAATAATCCTATTCCGACACCTGTACCTGTGATTGTCACGTTTGTAACCATATTAATATTGTTTTATCATGTCAATAAAGACATGATTTGTATTAAACTATCTTTTAATCAAATCTTGTTATTTATGTTAATCCGGTAATATTTTATATAGACCACTTATTATTTAATGAGATCTATATAAAATTGTTCTCGATTAATACAATCTTTTATTTCACAATACTCAAGGATAATAAGGCTGAAGTTAGAGTAACCATTTCTTAAAATGGATAAGTATATTACGTTTTTACCTCTAGTGGGACTAGAAATATAATTGTAATTATAATATTGTCTAAATCTTACACTTAAATTAGTTGAACTACCCACATAAGATTCTTCAGTTAATAAATTAATAAATTGATAAACACCAGCTTTATTCTTATTATCCAGAATAATTCTTTCTTTATCAAGATCAGAATTATTATATATCATAATAGGAACTACAGTAGAGAACAATAAAAATATATCAGAATTATCTATTGAAAATTCTGGACTAACAAAAGCCAAAGAAGAAAAAATTTCTGGAATCCCAGAGACAAAATTTATTATAAAAGCAATCATTGAAATACATAAGAGTAACCTGTCAATTAAGACATGTTTTTTATAAAACTATCTTTTAATCAATTCTTGTTATTTATACTTTTCCGGTAAGACTTTATTTAGACCTCTTAACAATTAAAGATTAAACCTTATCTATTTACTATAAGCCTTGATGACTTTGAATTTCAGTAAAGTTCATAAAGCTTTCCAGAGGGATCCCGGAGGGGTGCATCGTCCCTTGTCAGGGGTGAAACTTTTTTTAATAATTTTTAAAAAGCTTGAGATTCCTTCCTCCGGGATGCATTGTCCACCGAAGGTAGACGAAACTTATCATCTTAAAAAAAAGTTTTTAAGGAATTAACCTCTTTTAAGATAATATTTGAAGCTTCCTATAAATTAGGGCGAAAACAATTTATTCAAGGTTTAAACTCAGAGATTACATCCTAATAGTAAATATGTTTTAGGTATTATAGAATTATTATAAAATACTTTAATAAATTTCATATCTATATCAATTTTTCGCCCGGCCCGTCCGCGCGCTGTGGCGCGGCCGGGGTTTCTATGAACAAAGAATTAGCGCCTCCCGATCTCCTCCAGGGGGGGGGTGTTAACTGATTATACAGGTAATTGACCTTCAAATGTATGTAATATCGAGGGGGGACAATCCTTGATCATTTGTTAATATTGATTATTAACAATTATCTGAAAATTCTTTTGAACTACTTACTAACAAATCATTTGTAAAAGATAAATACCATTTATCTTGAAATAATTTATTATTCCTAGCATGTCTCAATATAATTTGGTGGTTAGAACCAAAATATTCAGCTGCTTTTCTAGCAGAATTAAAAGTATTTACTAATAAACCGTTGGAATCATAAACAAAAATAGCTGTTCCTTGAGTTACACTAATTTTTTCTTTAGTTTCAGTTGAATGAATTCTAATTTTACCAAACATTGGATTATTTTCACCGGATTTATCAATGCTTTCCTGCATTTTTCTCATTTTAACTGATGATTCTTCAGTATGTTTGTAACCTAGTGAAGAACCTGCTATTTTCAGAATGTTGTATTCTGGCTTAAGAGAATCAATAATAAATTGCTCTCGAGAAATCAAGATCTCGGCTTTGCAATATTCAAATACTACAAAAATTGGATTATTTTCACCTATCAATGCTTTCCTGCATTTTACTTATTTTAGCTAATGATTCTTACTGTATAAAGGGTGCCCTAGCTATTTTCACCTGCAGCCGCGGGGGGGGGGTGTTAGAAGAGTCTAACGTAATAATGTGAATTTAGTTAATAGTATATTGTTTACCCCTACTATTCCTTAGTTATTAAAGATGTAGCTAAAATCCATTTATTTTTATATAATTTGTTCTTATCTACATAATTAGATAATGTACGTTTGCTACAATTTAGATAAATTGTCGTTTCTGTATAATTATCAAAAGATTTGTATAATATCAACTCATTCGAATCGGGATCTTTGGTATATAGAAATACTTTTTTAAATTTTGCTAAAGACATTAAAGCTTTAGTTTCAGCAGAAAGAGTTATCCCAGCTCGGGCTTTACTCATTAAAGCCTTAGTCTCATCCGAAATTATTTTACCTTTATGAGCTTGACTTATTAAAGCTTTAGTTTCAACCGAATGTGATTTACCATACCAAGGCTGATCTTTACCTATTCTGCCATACATAGGGTTATTTTCTCCTTTATTCATTTCGCTCCGTAAAGTTTTAGTTTCAGCAAGAATTGCTCTCAATTTAGCAATAGTTTCTGCCGAATGCTTAAACCCTAATAACGAACCAGCAGTTTTAAGTATATTATATTCAGGGTTAAGAGAATCAATATAGAATTGTTCTCGAGAGATCAAGATCTCTACATCACAATATTCAAATACTATGAATATGATATCTTGGAGATTATTTTTATTAATAACATTTTGAAGTTTAATATTTGATCTTAATCCTTTTAAATGGTTATTAAATCGAATATCTAAATTAATAGAAGAACCGATATATAATTTACCAGTTGTTTTAGAAACAAATCCATAAACACCTGACTTACCTTTTAATTCTTTTTTAATTATATTTTGTAATTCCGCTAAATGTAAGGCACCTGTAAAGATCTCAATGGTATAAAAAAATAGTTGTATTCGCGTCATGTTTATTTATATGAATTTTTGTTCCCAGAATGAAATTAATCACCTATTATTAACTTTAATAATATCTATGTTATATTATTTTAATAGTTTACTTATTTGTTTGACACACTTTATAGTAATAAATTATATAATATTAAAAGACTTGAACACTAACTCTACTTTAAAAATTAATTAATCAAAAATTATAACTATATATTATATTATTTCTTAATTTAAAAGTCAAGCCCATATATTTAGTTTTAAAACTAAAGATATAATTTTTTTTTTATGGAAAGAATGTTTAACAAAGGTAGAAAGATTATGCAGCAGCATTTACTTGTTCGAACCTTGGTATATAGATCCACAATCTACCGTTCTACCGATTAAACTATAATCGTCTTTATGTTATTATATTTGAGATTTATTAAAAATTAGGGCGAAAACAAGGAATCGAACCTTGATATATAGAATCACAATCTATCGTTCTACCATTGAACTATAATCGCCTTTAATGTTATTATATTATTTTTGAACAAATTTAAAGTTTTACAATTTGTTATTTTTAATTAAAAAATAATTCTATTAATTATATTTTATTTTAGCGAAAAGAATTTTGTTCTCATATTAGAGGGGCCCGATGGGGGGAGTTAACTCAAATTTTCGTTCGTATCTCTCTTAGATACACAAATTTGAAAAAATTAACTCTGAGGTAAACACCTCAGTTGATAGCTGTGAATAATATCAAAAGTAAATAACTAATTATACTTAACAGTATCACTATAAATAAATAATTAATAAAACAATTAAAATCTAATTTCTTTTATATATTTTTATAGGATAATTTATAAGAATTACCCTTAAATCTATATATAGCATTATCCTCACATCTTCTAGAGACAGTTCTAATAGAGCATTCTAAAGCTAAAGCAGCTTCGGATTTTGAAGAATAAATTATTTCTTCTCTATTCTCAATGTTTGTGCATATTATAACAACACCTCCATGAGAAATTCGCATTTTTGAACGAGTTTCTTCAGATTGAATAGTTCCAGTTATTAGGCTATCACCGGAAAAATTAATATAATATAAATAACAAGAATTGATTAAAAGATAGTTTAATATAAATCATGTTTTCATTAACATGATAAAATATATAAAACAAATATGGTTATTGTAATATATACTTTTTTTGCATGGTTTGTTTTTTTAATAATAAATTTTGTCTCTGATGTTTCAGAAATTTACTCACAATTATTGGCCTTCAATAATAATGAGCATCTTATATCTTTATCCCTGTCTGTTTTACCTATTGGTGTTAAATTTTATGGTGATATTTTAACACAAAAGGATGAGATTAAAAAAGATAACAAGGGGAAATCGGGGGTTTATCTATTCAGTAACAAAATAA